AAAAAAAAAAAAAAAAAAAAAAAAAATATAAACAAGGTTAATTTTTCAATTGTGCGTCGTGTTCAACTCGATTTCAGCAAATATTTTGTCCTCATTGTTCATCATCTAATATTTGGTCTAATCCTAAGACATCAGTGGAAGGAGGACCAATTAATTGCGTAAAATGCTCAAAGCCTTTCCAATTTATCTGTTGTCCACGTTGTCACGAGGCAAATATGTGGTCGGCGGCAAATTACGAACAAGGTCTAGTATACAATTGTATTACGTGTAAGCGACCTTTTCAACATGTTTCCTGTGCATACTGTTATGAGTCGAATGTTTATTCTACGGCAGTATCCATACAAGGAGTCCCACTCAAGTGTCGTTCATGTGCAAAGACGCATCAGTACATTCGATGTCCTCATTGTCAAAAAGGCCAAGTATGGAAAAATTGCAATTATACTGCAGGTAGTACGGTTATACTAGGTGGGTAAAAATATTATTCCAGGGGGGTAACGCTATGATTTCGAATAGCAATCATAACAAATTTTATACCAAATTAAAGCGCGTCAAAAACGAGATTCAGCAGTACTAAATAGTAAGGAATATGGAAACTTTTCTATGTTGAACTGAACCAATTTTTGAAATATAATGGCGATACTCTGTAAATAATGAATCATTTGACCAGAATGGAATTGTTTTTCCTACATATATCCGTCGATTTATCGGTGTTATAAGGATTCAACGGGCTTCAAGGCTGAAACTACGATTATTTTTTTGCTTTCTATTGTCTTTTGTCTCTCTGAAATGTGAATAATGATGTATTGGAATTATACTAGAAAAGATAAAACAGTGCACATTTATATTCTTCTAAGTGACTTGCTCGTTTGCACTCATTTTTCGTTTCTGTTCTTTCGCATAGTATTAATATTATAGAAGAAAAATAATTTTCTTTCTTTTTCCAAGAATAATGATTCATGATAGCAGTTAGTCAACATTATTTTTTCTCATTCCTATTTTATCTTCGTTTCTCGAAAAAGAATTTTAAATGTTCGTAAGACCTTATATAAAGTTATTAGTGATAGACAAACTCTATAAATAGAAAAAATATACCAAATTGGTTGATCAGTTAAATTTATTAATTCAAAAATGGCTGGTACTTACGACAACGAAGAGCAAGGAATGGTCGATAGAATTAAATGCATCGCTTTTCGTGAAGCTCGCGATGAGCGTACAACATTTATTAATCGACAATGGATTGCACAGAAAATTCATCGAACTACTCGATTTGTTACTGAGTGGTGGGAGAAATCATGTGATGAATGTTTTGCTGATTATTCGAAATCTGGTCGTAAACTGAAGTTATCAGAAGCGAGTAGAAATATCATTCTGAACGCCAGTGGCAAACAAGGGGAAAGCTCTTATATTGTGGCGAAAGAAATTGCAGAAAAGCAAAACGAATATGTTGTTCGAAAAACCATCGATAATTATCGTTCCAGAGAAGGACTAAAGCCTTTCATGTTATTCCAAAACCGTTAAAAACAGAAACTCATATTTCTAATCGATTGTGGTTCTGCGATTGGTTAAAAGACTGGACTAAAGAAGACTTTCTACACCTTGCGCCATCAGATGAATTTTATGTCTGGATCGTTCGCAGACCAAATTATCAAAATGATCGAGTCTGGGCAAAAAGTATTGAAGATATAGAAGACGATGAAAGATATCGTGAAATGGTTAAAAATCAAGTGTGTATTGGGATTTTTGTGATTTTTACTGCCAAAAAGTTACATTGGGTTATCAAAGACAAAGGTGAATCTTGGACGGGCCAAGATTTTCGTGAAACAATTCTAATGCAGCATGTGATACTATTTCTAAAACATGAAGAAAATGCTATCGATCCGGATGAAGTAATATTTGTCCATGACAAAGCACCATGCATGCGAGCAAATATGACTCAACATTTGCTTCAAGACAATAACATCACATTCTGGGGAAATGACACTTGGCCCGGAAACTCGCCTGATCTAAATGTGGCTGAACATATTGGAACAGTAATTAAAAGTGAATTTGAAAAAAAATGCTATCAGAAACGGAACATGATCGTTATCGAGGAGAAACTTTGAAGAAACACATTTCAGATGTTTTGAAAAATATGGAAACAGATATTGAATTATTTGGAACTCTCTTATGTTCGTATCCGTCACGTCTTCGTGCTGTAAAGAATGCTAACGGTCGTCATACTGATTATTGATTATATTCACTGAACTTTAATAAAAATAAAAATTTCTTTGTCATATGTCAACATTTGAAAACAGATCTAGTTTAAATTGTCTCATAACTCTGATTTTCTGCGACAACACAGCATCGTATTTTTGAAAATTGTTTCAATTTAATATAGAAAAGTTTCCATATCCCTTACTATTTAGTACTGCTAAATCCCGTTTTTGACGCGCTTTAATTTGGTATAAAATTTGTTATGCTTGCTATTTGAAATCATAGCGTTACTCCCCCCCTCCCCCCCGGAATAATATTTTTACCCACCTAGTATGTTCGGAAACCATGCTTGATTTCTTGAAAACGCTTCCACCGTTTCCGGTATTCGGAAACCCAAAAAGGTTTTCGATAAAAAAAATATCGGAAACGTAAAGGTTTTCGAGAAGGTTTTTAAATCAAAAGCGGTTTTCGAAAATAGCACTAGGGTTTCTAAGAGTACGGTCTAGGGTTTCCAGACCTATCTTTCGAAAACCCATAGGTTTTCGGATGCTCGGAAACTCAGAAGGAATTTGCAAAAACTTAACATGAGTCTGAAAACCTTTCCAGATACCTTCATGGGTATTCGAAAGGGTTTCCGAAGAGATTTCGGTTTCTGAGAAAACCTTTTTTTTTTAGAGTGTAGTCTAACATGTGCCATCGTTTATGACCCGGATGCTTCCAAGATGTTTGGTGAACCATTTTATGTTAAAAAGAAAGCGTTTGAAATAACTATATCATTTGCTGGGCAAAAATCAGTCAGTCTAATGCCATTTTCATTTTTAACATCAACTGCATGGGGCTCGACAATCTGGGGTATAGTTAAATGTTCTTGTTTACTAACATGAGCATTAAAATCTCTCATTAAAATAATCAAATCACTCTTTGGCACCTTATCAATTGTCTCTTGTAATTGTAAATAAAATTGATCACATTTATCGATCATAGATGTGTTATATCGATGAATTGGACCATAAACAGCAATATAAGTCACATTTATTGGCGTACAATACATTCGAATCTTAATAATTCTTTCATTAACCGCCTTCCATTCTGAACCTGATGACTTCCAAATATTCGTTGCTGTTTTGTTTAAACAAACCGCTACACTACTTGCTAATCTTGTTTTCTTAACTTTCGGAAGTCCGGAATACATGATTGTAAAATCACCTATTAATTTTATTCCTGGCTCATATATACCTGTTTAACATAATGGAGCCACTTTTATCTTGTACCTCTTTAACTGTTTAATAATTAGTTGTTGTTTATGGTAATAAAAATAGGAAATTTAACGTCTTATCGACTGGTGGCTACTGGCAGCTCAAAGTCGCCTACCCACTACTTTTAAGACAGACACATATCCCAGTGGAAGTTTTAAAACCTCCCCAGCAGACTCGAATTTAAAGAGAAGCTTGCACTAAAATGAGAAATTAAGATATTAAATGGTGACAGTGATATAGAATGATACAGCTTATGCAGCGATTAGTATGTAAACTGAAATATTGAGATCGGTACGGCATGCGTTCAGTTTTTGTTGGTTCTATTTAGAAAATCTTGAAAAGATCCTGGCAAGAAACTGGTAATATCTTCGAAAAAGCCTGATCGAATCCTGAAAGGGGTGACCAGAATTATTTTCTAATTTCCAATCATTCAAATCCAGACAGGACTCTACAATTCTGTAGCTACACATTTTTTTCAGAACTTAGCTGTTTCCTCAGGAGAGAGCAGCGAATGCTTGTAGGCCGTGACCATAGTCCTCACAGATCTGATGCTGAAACATCATAAACGTTCCCTAGGTCTATGTATGTTTTAATAATAATCGTTACGAGCGTTTATATTCTTGTTAATAATAATTATCATCATGTAGGCTGTGTCAATTTTTATTATTTGTTTTAAACTTGTTTGTATTGAATTCGTTGGTTGAAAACTCAGTAGTTGACTAGTATGTTCAAGATAATATTCTCGAACATTAGTTGTTTTTCTTTTGACTTTTATTAATAAAAAGGCGAAAAAGCACTAATGGAATGAAGCTACATGAATAGCTAAAAAACACGAAAAAAAAATTTCTATGTTAAATATTTGAATGTGCCAAATATTAGAACGAGTTTCTATGGAAGATAAGCTTTTTGGTATATCATGAGGTAACATATTGTTCGGTACATGTAATTAGAAGCCCAGATGTATGCGCTGTATTTTTGGCCATAACGTTTATATTCTTTTAAGCTATCAATCTATTGTCCCTATACATAAATGGACAGAAAAATTCAAAAACGCTGATGTGTTAGATTCGACTTGGCGATGATCGCTGAATATGAATGTAGATGCTTCCTACACCACATAAAACTGGCACTAAGTGAATCTGACTTCCAGTAGGATATAAAGTGAAGGTAAGGACCTATGTAACAAGGATTGGGTCTGAAACCAAAACTGTTATGAAGATCAGATCTTGACTAGGATAAGAACTGCAATCCAGCTGCATGCTAACGGAGGAATATTTCCAACTAATAAGTGTCGTTCGAGCTCATGTATGGTTGATAGTTGAGATTGATCATGTATATAAATTATCCAAAAAGAGTTGGTTCCATTGCCGTTTGGTTTCAGAATTAGGAACGGAACAAGTATCGTGGTAGTTGGCTCCAGCTTCTCTGAGTTATTTTTATATCTTATCGTATTTTTACTAGGAAATAAATTTTTCCGTTCAAAATCTGATTAGTAAACGATTTTGTTTATCATTATTCACCCTTAAAGTGTCAGTTGAATCTGATTTGGCTTTCAAACGGAAGAAAACAGGAGTTCCTCTAATGATTCTTCCATTTCAAACCAATAACACGCTACACACTGTCCGCGAAGAAAAAATTATTCTTTACGCTGTATAGAACAGAAACCTCTTGCTGTGTATCCTACTAAGTTTTTGAATTTTATATTTGGATGTGGAAGCTTGGCTTCATGCACTTTGTTCAAAAATATCATCATTACACATTGACTAGTGCCCTTTCTCGAGCGTTTATTTCATTTGATTTATTTTCGCTATATGCTTTTTCAGTTATTTGTGAAATGACAAATACTATAGCTGTTTTTTCATTTTGATTTTCTTTTCTTCTAAAGAAAATCAAAGGAAACCGTAGAAATCTTCCTTGGGCTTGAGGTTGAAAAGAATAAAAGTGATTATCGAAAAAAGGGAATAAGAAATGTTTTGTATTTCGGACGCAAAGTCAGATTCAACTAAGAATTTAAGGATGAATAGTCATAAAAAAGATAAGTTAGTGATCAAATTTTCAGTAGAAAAATGTATCTTCCTAGTTAAGATACGAAAATAAAAATTGATGACACAAAGAAGATGGCACTACCTACCATGATACTTGTTCTTTTCTACGCTCTGAAACTAAGCAGCAATGGTACGAATTCTTTTAGATAATTGTATAGATGATTAACTTCAATGATCAAGAAACCATGGGCACGAGCGGTGCTCATCAGCTGCGAATGTTCACTTGTAAGAGAAAATTCGAGCGTGACAGAATCGTAAGCGGCTTACAAGATTCTTACACAAACTTGGAGAGCTATCAGGTACAGTTTCTAAAATCCGAACTGTACCGAAACCTAGCCAGAGTAGTTGTCCCAAAGCACGTCTGCAACGAGCACTGTAGTTAGGTTCGAAGCTGTCATTCTAATTGAGAACATGATCGAACTCGAAGTACATTTTGAAGCCGAGATCCAAGCTGAGAACAAAAATTGACCGCAACTGCTATAAAAACGAGTACTGGTCCCTGAAAAACGTTGGAATAGTTCAGAACAACGAGTGAAAGGTGGGCGAGAAGTTAGGCTTGACAGAGCTCGCACTAAACAGAACCAGACCGATAGACCTTGATATCAAGGTTGAAATTGATAATGTGAGCTCTGTCTGAAGTTCACTTCCCACCGAGATGGATAGCAGAATGACGATTTGAACTGTGATTTAAACGAAAATCACGACTGGAAAAGAAATCTTAATCAAAACAAGGATACACACGACGATGGTAGCCGAGGCAGCTGCTGAAAGTAAGCCTCTGATTTCTACGGGGATTGGAAACGATCTTGAGTCGAAGACTTCATCCAAACGTCCATCTTTCACGAGAAACATGACCGTAAGCAGAAAATACCCCCAAAAATGGTATTAAAAATCAATATTTTCTGTCATAGGTATACGGGACGTTTGAGCTGGCTTTTAACAGGATCAACGATATTAAACAGCATACTATTGCTTGTGAAGCATTCATATTTTACCTATTCTATGCAACAATAGGAAGACAAACAAATAAAGCCATGGTATAATGCACATTTTTTCCAATCATCGATTAACTTTCTCTCTTCGTCAATTAAGTTGTATCATCGATAAGTGATAGAACAAGCAAAAGAATGAAAATATTTGTATGAGAAAAAATCCAGTGTGTCTCAATAGTATATGATCATGCTCTATACTACGTATACGGTTGAATGCACGCAAGCCAAACATTTTTTCGATATGCACATAAGCAAAATAATGCTTTCATTTTCTTTACTAAACAACGTCAATACATTACCAACGTATTATACTCGTCATCAAAAAAATGATCGCATCAATACACGAAGCAAATGTAAGTCTTTTGATATTGCAGTCTCTTTTTAAGACCCTCTTAGTTTCTCAATATTCAGAAGAATTTTCTATCCTTAAGTAATACCACTAACGAAATAACGCTGCCTTTACATTCATATTAAACCCATGTATAGGGGGCTACAAGACTAGAATAATCATTAAAGTATTCGTGCTCTTGTTGAAATTTGTGTGAAGCTTCTAGTGTTAATGGATTTTTCGTATAGGAAGTTAGTTTTGAAGTAAAATCATATCTCAAATTTCGATCTGAACCTTTCTCAACATTAAAGCTTCGCTATGACTTGCTCATATATGAAGTTTTAACATTCGTGAAGATAGTATCAGATACAAACAATTTCTGTTCTGAAGAAAATAAAGGACGTGTACAGACTCTTCAGGCTTCTTAAGAGTTCCGCGTTTTACCTAGTATCAGAAGCCCTGAAAAACGGTTCGGAACAAGCAAAAAATCTTTTGCAGAGGGATTTAGAACTATTTTTTCTTGCACGAAACCCTTTTCAGGAGTTTTTCTGTAAAGTAAAACTCAGAACCTGTTAGAGACCTAAAAGGTTCTGCAAATTTCCTATTTTTCAGAGTGCCATATTCGCTCGGGACGCGTTTCAGATGTTCTCATTTGTGTTCCACATAGCATTTGACATGCTCTATCAAATGGCAAGATCAGATTTATGTTATCTCCCAATGTTCCTTTCAACTCACGAAGTAATGTTTTCTCCCTTCAGACTATAGGGAACTTCGGAAGTACTCACAGCCATTATTCGTTCACGACTTGTCCCATGTCTTTTTCTTGCTTTTACTAAAAAGATCAAGTACAATTAACCGTGGGCCACAAGCGAAAAAACCTGAAGCAGTTGCTGGTTCAATCAGAGCAGAAACTCCTACATGGGTTCTGCATGTTTCATCGAGTAAAATCCGTTTCTTTTGACTTCAGAACGAATAGTTTGAGAAACCGTCAATGGGTTATAATCATTCAATACAGCACATTGCTAACGTCGCCTACATTAAGTTTCATCATTCTTGAACATTGGGTCACTGACAAATGAATCTTTCAAAATATGAATGCTATAGATTGTATATATCCATAAAACTGTACGTTTTTGGAGAACTTGTATTTCAAAATAGAATGTCTAAAAATGATAAAACTTTGAATATGTGTTATTCATAGCAAGGCATTTATGTTGAAAAAGTTTTACATCAAAATTCGAAATATGATTTTACTCAAAACCT